AAGGTTACTTCATCTTGAGTTTTTGAGAGCAGATAAGGTGGAAAAGAAAGATATTGGAAAGGTGGATGACATTTAAAAAAAGCAGTATTAAAGTCCTCCATTATGAGAATAAAGACGACTGTTTTGTCAACAGAAAACACATTTATCTTCATCTGGGAGACACAACTGATAGTTCCTGTTATCCAAGGGAATTCTGAACCTTGAGTTAATCTGTGCACCTACTGCACAATTTTGCAAACATGCATCAATATTTAGGCTACCGGTTTTGGAACAAATGCATTACCAAAAATGAGTTTCTTTCACAGAAACAAACATTAGAATCAGAACAAACGTTTTAATCACAAATTGTTTTCTGAACACATTTGCCAGTCTCATTTCAAACTGTTTGAGCACCTGAGCTTCCATTTTCCCTCTCTGGAAAGTATTCACCATCCTAAATGTAGCCAGTTATGCTGGGTAACTTTGCTCTGGTAGGCATTGTTTATTTTCTCCTTTTTTTGCTGGTCCTTTGGAGGACATGAAAATATTTTTCTTCCTATGTGCTTGAAACCCATCCACAATCATCAGCTGCTACATCTTCTTTTCATAATCTTGTTTATATTCAAATAGGCACTAATGTTGTGCTCCATCAAGAGACTTGGTCAATAGTTCCAGAAAGGTAAAAGTAACAGGGGAAAATGGTGGGGAATCACATTCTCAACAACATTGTATTTAAAATCCCTTAGTTGTCTTGTAGACTATGATACTTGCATTTAGAACTGCTGGCTTATTTCAAATGGAATTTTATTTAAACAAAATGAAAGCATAGCTTCTGAGGAAAGAACTGAAGCCTTGGAACAGAGCGGGGGGTGATCCTGTACTTAACATTGCCACTCAGAGCTGTGATCTCTCACTGTTCTGCTACAAACATCCTGTGCAGCAACTCAGTTGAGTTGCTTTGGGTCTTTTTGTGGCTTAATCCCCAATCTTTGAGACAACTATGACTTAGACTCCCTATCTCACAGGCACACGGTGAGGATAAATGCATTAAAGAAGAATTAATATATCACAATATAGTGATAGGAATTCAATACCCTGCATACAGAGTAATTTATCTTTTTGTCTCCTGGATCAAGTATAGTTTCTACATGTGTGCAACAGTAAAAGCCTAATCTATTAATATATAAAGAAACCAAATCATCTCCACCGCTGCATTCCTGTATATGAAACCACGAACAGAAACATAAACCTGTAGGTGTAGAGTGGAAATGCTAGAGCAGAAAAGAACAGAATTTTTTCCTTAATTACAATGGGCTTAAGGCAAGAATAGGAACCACAAGCTAGACATATATAAAGAAATCTGTTCATTCCACCAGAATAAATGAGAAAACACAACAAAACCAAACAACTGCACAACAAATTCATATATAAACTAGATATACAAGTATTTAGACATATTTTTTAAAAGGAACTCCTTAATGTTATCTTGTGTAAGGAATACACTATAATTTACTAGCATATAAATTATATAAAGTTCCCAGGATGAAACCTCCATATTTCTTTCTCCAGACTACTCTCCCTATAAAATAGCTTTATTAGAGTTTAGTAATGTTAGGAAAAAACGAAGGTAATGTCTATAGTTCCCATTAAAAACCAAATCATACATTTTACAGTGATTATAGAGTAGTATACTATAAAAAATGAGGTTCCACCAAGTATTCAAAATTATGGATTTATTCAAACTCCCAGAGAAAAATCAAACTTGTAAATTGTGTAGATTATATATCCAATAAAATATTTATTGTTGCACAATGTATATTGGTAACTGTGTTGACTACTTTTCACCAAGGTGCCAGAGAAATGAAAAATTAACCAGTGCAGAATATAAAATAGTTTTTTTCAAGTCCTAGAGCTAGTTCACAAGCATACAAAACAGATTGCATTCAGAGCAGTAATATAGAAATTCTTCAGTGGAGAAGACACTAGAGCTGAATACCTGACAGCAGAACAAAACAGAGAACAGCATTAAAGCCTTGTAGTTGAGGTGCTGCATGCAAATGCAGGAAGACCTGAATTAGTAATATTGAAGGTCTAGCTAACGTAGACAGTGGCTGCGTCAATGAATGTTTTAATGACATCTCACTAGTTTAAGGACTAACAAGTGCATACATGCAGTCTGATAGAATTCTGAAAATTCAGTGAATATATGATCTAAAATCTCTTTGGGTTTACAAAAACAATTGAATATTTGAATATCCTCCTTCTCTGCAACTTCCTAAACTGACCTATGAAAAACACACATGTGGTTTGAGTGCATGTTCTTGTTTTCAGCATTAATCATCATCATCACTACCAACCAACCCCCCACTGGCTTTTTCAAAATTTATTCTTTTTCAAAATTTACATGAATATTTATTTAAACTTCAGCTACAGGGCACCAAATGGTCATCATCCTATGAAAGGAAAAATTTAATAAAAAATAAAAATATATAAAATCCTCTAGTTATTTTGCACCTTAATGCTGTGACTTCAAATGTAACTTTTTTGTCCTTTCATTTTGAGATGACCTATAGAACTTCCCAATGGAGGACAAGGATAAGAGGTAGGCTGGCAACACCAGAGAGGGCTGGACCCAGACTGTTGCTCCAGCTGTGCTGCACAGAAGGGCATTTCTGACCTGGCCATTCACAAATTATAGTGCGTAAAAAAATAAATACACAAATACTCTGGAGTGAGGACTTTCATCCTTACTCTTGGTGTCTCTATTTCAGCTTCTCCTCTTCCAGCCTTTAGCACAGGCCACACCAGGCTTGGAAGTGCAATTGCACACTCAGAGTGAGCACGTGCCAGCCTGACAGAATGCCAAGTTCAACCCTATTCTGTAGCTATGGTCCAGCCGGACCCAAACTCCTGCCCATCCTCTTCCTGAGGAGCACGTTCCTCATGCTGGGGTCAGGGATGCTCTGGGCCAGGCTGGAGGAACAGCCAAAATATGTTCTACCTCATTCTCCACAGCTCTCCTCCTCCCTGAAACACTGCAGTGCTGATGGCTGGGCAGAAAAAGCAGCTGCCTCACAGGGTTTAGGATTTAACAGACAGCCATCATTCTCCTCTCACTCTAACTAGTCTCACTCCTTGATATTAAATGGCACTAAATGCAACATATTTGACGGTGAAAGTTTGCTGAATGTTTCAGAATTAGTTGTCCTAAAGAAAGTGGTCCCTAGGTTACACTACCTCATGTTCAAAGAAACATTACTTCAGTAAGCCCTTGGAGACCTGTGCTGGCTTTTTTAGCCCAGTCACACAGCAGCCCCAGATCTCACTTTTTGAAGGGGAGGACAAAACAGGTGGAATTAATTGAAAAATTCAGGTTATATGTTCTCTTAGAATCTTAGAGTTCCTGTATTTTTAAGTGCCTTTTCTGCCAGCACTTGACATCTGCACATTTTCAAAATCTTTTTCGATTTACACTGAAGCAGCTGGATTATGCAATCAGACAGCATGAACTCAGTGCAAAACACTGCTATTGTCTGCTTGTTCCTGGTGTGCAAGGCAGGAGAGGGGAGCACACATACACTTGGATGAAATGAACCCTATTCCAACATCTTTCTGCTTAGAGAGACTACAGCTTGTAGTCCCATCGTGCACTTGCAGGATGGTGGGGCCAGATCCAAAATCTGGATGTCTAAAACACCCTAAATCAATGCTTGAGATGCCCAAAAAACAACCTCTTGTGAAATTCAGACTGTAAGGAAGCTTTTTTGAGACCAGTCAAAGCTTCAGCACACTATCTAACTCCAGGTTCCCATTTTAAGAAATCCTGGATTAGAACCAAACCCACCTTGATATTTAAATGCACTAGGGAGTAGAACAGGTCTGGACAGCTGCACAAGTGGGCAGGAGCAGCTGGGCAGGAGCAGCCATTCCACCCTACTGACTTTCTGTTGTGGAAGGAACTTCACTGCTGAGGATAAAGATGAGCAAAGCACAGGAAAGTTGTAGCTTTTTATATACACAAAGCAAAAGGATTAAAACCACCATGTAGAACAAAGATTTACAATGGATCAGCCACACATCTCTGTAGAAGGAACAAAGGTTTTATAAAAGAATAGATGAAAAAATTATATATTTCCTGAGACTATAGACAGCCCTAGAGACTTATAAGTATTAGTGAGACCAAAGGCTGCCAGATGCTTCCAGAGCTCTGGCAGCTCGCTGGGGAGCTCAGGCCTTTCCAACGGGGCAGAATAGGTCAGCTGGAGACTAAAGGGTACAGAGCTCCCCAGAGAAAGACTTTTTTGTTGTCTTTGGTTTTAAATATTTTTCCTTCATAAGACATGGTCTGAGATTCCATTATGTTATGTACTTAGAGATTTTATTACAGGGAAATTTGTGACATTTTTTCTTTCTTTTGACTATTTGCCTCACTTGAAGAGTTTTGCAAAACCCTGATGGCCAGTTAACTGTGGCTAGCCCATGGTAGCAAACAACACTCTGCAAGCTTTGTCTTTAGCAAAGTAACTCAGGGCATCAGCCAGAAGAGCCTTGATTCCCATCTTCCATAAATTCTTTCTTTTTTCCCACTCATTTCCCAAAGTAAAGGAAACAGATGAATTATTTTTTTTCACCTTCCCTCAAAATTCTTTATAGTTTAGATTTTGAAATCTGAAGATCAAAACTTACTTCCCATTTCCATACAAAAGTATAGTGAGGTGGAACGTTTAGATAACTATTGGTAAGAAAGAATTTACCGTCAATAAATGCCTTTATCATGCCTTTCTTAATTCCAGCAGAATCTTTTCCCAACCCAAAGAAGTTCTAAGCATGTGTCACCTGCTCACGCCCATGACACTACTGCAGCCATGTAAGCTGAATTGATCTCAGTAAAAAGTGCTTTAGGTACATTATATGACTTTACTTCTCTATGTTTTTCGGCCTCTCATTAAGCGATACCAGACAAAAGCTGCCCAAATAAAAAATATCCAAAACAACATTTAAAGTCAAATTCTCATACTTACTTTGGGCTACTTGTTTGAAGCAACAGGAATGGTTGCATGGGCAGTTCATGGACTCAAGAGTCGGATGTTATATGCAGCCAGAAACACAGTTCACTTTTGTGACCGTCTATTCTCCAGGGAGCACTAGCAGGAGATGACAGAGGTCTGTACAAAAGAGAAGTTCGTTATTTTAAAGCCTAAGAAAAAAACTCATACAGGAAAATGTAAGTAAATGCAAAGCCAGAAGGTAAGGCTGCCTTTCATTAGGAAAAGACACAACCCACCACTGCAAAAACACCCCTTATTCTCATGTGAATGCAGCCATGAAGCACATGGCTCACCTACGACTCCCAGTGAGGCTCAGAGCTCTGTGTCAGAGGCAGTGCTACCAGAAGCAACAGTTTATTCCCTCTGATTTATTCAGTTCAGCAAAAATGTATTACTTTCTTCATTGCTCCATTTGTTCTTTAAAGTGGTATAAATCTTCACAGATCAGTGAGAAATTTAATTAAAATACTATACAAAGTGCTTATCTTTGGAAAAGCAAGAATCTGGCCTCATGGACAACCTGAGTAAGAATGAAAACACGTGCCTACTAGATTTGCACACAGCTTTCTTTAATGATCTATCTAAACAACTGTAAGAATCTATGGTTCATGTGGGTCCCTTCCAGCTCAGAATATTCTGTGATGCTATCAAATATGTCAGAATTTCATGTATTCTAAAATAAATATTTTTAATTTTATTAAACAGTAACAATATAATAACCTGAATAATTCTTACCCTAAGTTTATTTGATGAGATGATGATATATAATATACTCTTAAGAACATAAACTGTTGGCTTTACAAGCTCCATTCTTTCAGTTATTCCCCGGACCTCACTTCAAGATACCACAGTCTTCATTCATTTACTCATTTTGTTTCATATGAAGACAACATAACCCTTAGGACAGATTTTTCATTGTGAATTGCAACATGTTTGCTATATTTAAGATGTTGTTGAGACAGAGAAGTTTTTCGTAGTGATACATGTTACCATACATATTTTGCTCATTTTTCCAGAAAAAGATGGCAATACACACATATATACACAAGGACTCCCTGAAACAACATCTCAGCCTTGGCCATATTGATCACCATAACTGGTCTACTCTGGCCTCCAATCAGGAGGCCTGGAGACACACCATCTATAACGCAGCTGTCTCCTTCGAGAACACACACAGGATCACTCTCGAGGAAAAAAGGCAACGCAGAAAGAACTGTGCCTTGCAGAATACACCATCTAAGGAGTCTTTCTGCTGTGCCTTTTGCAATCGGATATGTCTGTCACGTATTGGCCTCATAAGCCACCAGCGTGCCTGTAGCAAATGTGGATAGTGCCTTCCCAAATCTTCGTTCGCGAAGCCTAGCCATGATATATATATATATATATATATAAACTTACATATTTGTATAGTTCTATATTAATATAATATTAAAGAGTAGAACTCCATTAAGGGAAATGATTCATTTATACCTAAAGTGTCTAAGAAACATCCCACTAAAACTCAGGAAAGGGCATAGAATAAAAAGAAAGAATGAACAATTTACCAGAACTGAAGAATGCCTTAATGAGAGGTAGATGATTTTCACTTTTTTCTGAAAGATACATTGCTTCTCTTTTCATACCACTGATTCAGAAGAGGTGACTTCAGGTATCTGCTTAAACATAGAAGAGAAAAAAAAATTGCACGTTGTTGTCAGATGCAGCTGAGGTTTAGATACAAAATACTGAATCTGATACAAGCAGACGATGATACTCTAGCAGGGTAAATTACTATGAGGAGTTATTTTCCTGTAATTTAAGGAAGCTCTGTGCTTCTTACTAAATTTTCCATGAAATAAAGAGGCATATATATAGGAATCTATATGAATGCATACGCCAACACCAGTTCCAACCCCTTTCCCTATGGCCTCCTCCACACCAGCTCACATGAGTATCCTCATCCTGAGACATATCCTTGTGCCTTCCCTTTTCTTCAGAGTGTTTGTCACTTCCCAGCCATGTTATGAAAGCCGAAGCTCAGCATGTGGGTCCAAGGACAGCTTAACAATGTAGGGCCAGCCCAGTTTGGGATGGATGCTGCCGGCCACTTCAGGGTGCCATGCTCACTATCCAGGGCCAGCGGCACTTACGCAGTTCTGGTATTTTCTGCCACCCTACAGAAGCATACAGCAAGTTTCAGACTGGACGACTCGATATTTGCAGCTGCTTGTTAATACTTACATAATAATTTAGTGCATAAAACCATATGCTATCAGTCCTCTATGCAGATCCTGATCATACATGTGCATACTCTATGATACCAAAGGGAAGGGAACCAGAGTTTACCTCCAGTTGTAAGACCAAGTACTGACATTGCCTAGTACAGTTGAATGTAACTGCTCTGAGACAGAAGACAGATGGGATAGAGAGATTTGAAGTGCTACAAATAAAATCTAAAACTGAACTTTTAAATATTCATTCTGAACTATAAAGAGAGCTGTGGCTTTTGTGTGCTACAGATGGCTTGGAAATGCAGTGCAAACAAAGGACCAATTTTTGAATACTCATAGCTTCTCTACCATAATAGCTGGAGGCCCAAAACTCCAGGGGCTTGAGATGATTCAACTAGATCCTCTTACCTGCCAAATTTCATCAAAGCAACATTGCTTTTACCATCTTATAAGGGATGAAAGAAATATGAATAGTGTGGGGTTTTTTAATGAAACGTGGACTGCTTAAGCTTGAACAAAAAATTACAATATGAATGGAAAATGCGAGAAAAAAACATTTTTTTATCATACATACTTAAAGCATCATATAAGATGAAATCTGTACTTTTTATAGATTGAAAGATTAAACAGAAATATTTGGTAGATTTAGATAAATGAAGGAAATAAAATAAAAAATAAGCATAATAAAAATCCCTGCCAGTCATAATCAATGAGAAACTGCTGACTGATTGCCAAGTACGGCCTTAGGTTTAAATCTAAGAGAGACACATGTGTTTCTTTGTAAGGTAGTGGGGCACGACCTCATCAATCAGAGATTATTCTCTGCGTAATAGTTTCTGGAAAGAAACTACTAATGCCAACTTCTCATCTGCCTTTCAGACAGAGGCCAGCTGATACGAATACAGCTGGAAAGGGGCTAAGCTCAAGTAACGCTGCTGCTAAGACCATACACTACTGCATTTACAAAGCAGTAAATTAGCATTTTTTTATGTTATTAGCTACTAGCATAGATTATAAAGTCTTCGGCTCTAGTGAGGGGATACTCTCCCACCTTCTGTATGTATTTGAGCTTCTACAAGAATGGAACTGGAAAACAAAGTCCAGAAGAGAGGTGAGTGTCTGTGGGAGAGCAGGGATCACCTGTGGGGAAGAGAGAACCCCTGAACAGCCAACAGTCCTCCAAACATACAAGCTACAGAGACAAACATGCAGTGATGCATCACAGCTAGAAGCCAGGCTTATGAGGTATCACTGCCAACTGAAGGGACAGAAAGTGCAGGAATAGGAGGAAAAGATAGGAAGTGCTTGATAGAAAATGTAACCCTCCTGTAATGACAGTAAGAGCCAAGAGACAGTCACAAGTTGATACCAAGTGATGGATGATGGGTGAAAGATGACAAGCAGATTACGTTATCTGTGAAATCAAGGGAATTAGCAAGGAAGTATGCACAGAGAGAGGCAGCCTGGACAGCAGAAGCTGTTGGGGAAGGGATGGCTGCCACAATGCTCTGGATGGATAGCAGGAACTGGATCTGCATTTGTCAAGGTTAGAGAAAAGGATTCTGTGAAAAATCAAGATAAGATGGTGGAAGTTGGGGTAAGCATTTTGTTTCCAAACAAGATGGGAAAAGTGGCAATTTACAGCAGGGGACCAGCCTGCTGGTTTTGGGAATGGTGCAGGTAAGAGATGTGAACTGAAGAGCAAACCTACAACCTTGCTGAAGGGACAGAGGATCCTGCACTGCTGGCAGAAAGAGAGGAAGGAGGACTTAGCAAAGCTTGAGAAAACAGGCAGGAGAACCAGGGGCTCCCTTTCAGACACATTTGGCTGGTTCCAGATCTGAATCCATCAGAGAGCAAGCAGGGATTGCAGTCGGAGAGTGTGATTTGGCTCAGTTCATAGCTCAGGCAAAAGAATGCCAGATGAACAGAGGAGAAAGGGCAGGATCCTCTGGCAGAAAACAGAGCTTTTCCAATGACCTCACTGTCCTTTTGAGAGTAACTGCTTTCCAGGACAGTGTCCCAACAGGATACTTGAATGCCTTCAGCATAGTTCAGTATTCAGAGATTAAACCGAACAACTTTTCATGAAATCTGCCTCCAATAAAAACATCTTTATTGCCCTGGGCTAATGTGTAAGTTAGTAAGAGATTATGGTTCAGTTTCTATAGCCATTTTATGTAATAGGAAAAAAAAAATCCATAGTGACCTCATTATTAGTCCGCTAAAATATGAAATGAAGTTTTAAGCTACACTTCATCATGGTAATAGGCTTTCAGCTATTTTCCTAAACTCTTAGACTCACTGCTGTCATTCTAGGCAGAATCAGACAACCTGACTTAATCATTGTCTTGTGACTTGCTGCACTGTGCCCCTTCTTTTTGAATATATATAGATCCTAATTTTTTTTTAATCCTTTACTAAAAATATTGGCAAAATGACTGCTACCCTTGTGGCATACAGATGGGGATGTTTACAGGCACAGGAACTGCAGTGCCCTAGGGCCTCCTTCCCTAGGGTCTGGGTGCCACTGGCAGGTCTTGGCATAGGGTACCATTGCCTCTGCAGGAGCAATCCTCTCCTAGCTTCTCCTCCTCCTTCTCTGGAGGGACAGCAAACATTTTAACAATGTTACATTTGCATGCTGTAAGCTACAGTGACTGGTGTTAAAATAACATAAACCCGACCTTCAGGTGAGTTTGGTTGTCTACAAATGTGTGCATTTGAATGCTTACCCAAACTGCCAGCCCATTTCCAGGACATGGTTTCCTTAGGGACATTTTGTTCTGCACCTGCCATCTAGTGCCTTCTTTTGGGCTGTCTCTGCCCTACTCATCTGATACAAATGAGGTTCCCCTGTGCCTCTCTTTCCTCCAGTGTACTGCCGCCTTCAGCCTAAATGGGCATACCCAGGCTCGCCCATGCTGTGCATTACTGAGAGAAAAGACCCCAAAATCAGAAGACTAGCTTTAAAATTACAAGCTGATTTCAGTGATCGCAAATATAGTTCAGACTGCAGTTTTGGCTCTGTTTACTTCTGCTGCAGAAAGGGAAAGCGCAGCTCTTTATAAAACACCAAGTGCCGAGTGAGAACCAGAGTGAAGGAGGAGTTATTTTTGTTGGTCTGTTGCCTTCTCTAAAGTCTGTAATATAACGATTCATGCATGTATATCATGAGAGACAGCAGGGCTGTCACCACCAGTCTGCTGCCTAATCCCTCATGTTTGCAGTAGCAAAGACCTGTCCCCTGTCAGCTCCTGCAGAGAGGCAGTCTGGGACCAGGGACAGGTGCTGTCCCGTGTCTCCGTATCTTCACCTGGAGACAGGTGGAACATGCACCATGTGCTGCTAAGGCTTCAAAACACTGCCTGTGCCCTGGTCTCTGTGCTTCTGTTGATAAAGTGAGAATTGTCACACAGTGCCACAAGTAGCAGATACACACACAGAGGATGGATTGATACCATATCCACAGACCAACCTGTGTTCCCAAAGGAAAGCATGGTCCAATTCCTAGACTTGTCCTAGTGAGGGTAACTGAGCAGGACCTGTGCTTATAAAGAGCTTTTGGGCTCTCACAAAGTCAAACCACTATATTATGGACATTATCATTCCATTACATTCCCATCCAGAAGCTGGGACCACCAGCATCTCACGTCTCTTCCTTCCCAGCTCTATTCCATATGCAGTTTCCAT